CGACCCCGAGGTACCTGAGCCTAGACTGCTACGCCCACGTGGTCTGGCAGTCTTCCTTTCCATCCTTCCTATCCCCATTCCTTCACACTCACATTGGTTCTTCCCGTGAGCAGTCACCAAAAATTCTCCCTCCGGTCCTGAAGAAGAACGAAGGTTCGAAACGTTGACCATTGGCCTTTAAATCCGGATTCTACAGTTTACAGTGAGTCTCATCCTCGTCCTTACTCCTTATTATACTCACTCGCACATTTTACCAATCATAAGTATAAAATGTATTTAATCACTAAATATATGTAAACATCACCATGCATGTTCATTCAAGTTTGCACTTCAGAAAATCATTTAATGTGAAATAAATATATTCAAACTTGAAACTATTGCTTCGATTAGAGGATCTGGCCAAAATAAGTTTCTGACAAAATTTGTATGTACATGCTTCAATCAAATCTATACAAGTGAATCAAACTGTAGGTATCTAAATATGGCAACGACTCTAGAAAATATCTACTTTTCCAGGGTATGCTTGCCACCGGAGTGTCTCACCAATTCACGAAACGTGTGGAATTTCTTGTAACAGAAATAGCACGCGTGTTTCCTTGGACCGTGCCTTTTCACGTGTTGCACAAGATTGACTTTTGAGTGAGTTTTGTACTCGCACGTGTTGCAGGAGTGAATTAATTCCTTGTTCTCGGCGTGTCTCGTCACCACGTGCTGCCTCATATTGACTGATGTTGAGAATCGTTTACCACAAAACGCACATACGTAATTTTTCTGATGTTCATGACAAATCCGAATGTGACTCTGTAACCCGGCTGGAATTAGTAAACTCTTGGGACAAAGATGACAACCGAAAATCTGGCGGGACGATTTCTCCAGATGAGTTTCCTGTAAAATAAGTATAAATTTCACATTTAGTATGTGATTATGTCCGGATTTTTTGCACCGCACTGAAAAAAACTGAAAGAACTTTGGGGTGCTAGAAATGCAAGAAAGTGACGCCACCTAGCAGCTCACCAATTGATTATTCGGCTTGCCTTTTAGACGTAGGATTTTTCCATGCCGGTGCCACTAAAGTTCATATAAATAAACGTCATGTGAGGTCGTATTTGTCAATTGTTTTTCAGATGAGGAGCCGTAAATAAAACGTGATCGATTTTCTGAATGTTGACCCCTACCCCCCGCCCCCAGTGTAATCTATATGCCTCATGTTATAATTAACATAGGAAGGATAGGATTCCAGGGCAATTCATAGCAGGCGATTCATATAGTCATATAGCTCGTAGCATACAATTCATAGCACGTACATACCATAGTCGTTATAACTGATAGTAGTATCCATACCTAGCGCATCTTTTCGTAGCACGTACAATACATATTTATATCGCTACGTAGCAATACATATCGAGAAACCAAATGCGAAATTTTATCAACTGACTAAACAAAGAATTTTTGACTCGAGTCAAAGGTTATGCACCAGCTTTATCCGCTTGTCCATCTGCCTATAACCAACATAATCTTCGTTAAACTCATCTTATTCACTTGAAATTTTTTACAAATATTTAGACTGGGTCATATTATAGCGGTGTGAGTAATGGGCTTAGTGCTGAATATTCGAAAAATACACTCTTAGAAACTGGGTATTGATCTTTGAAAAATTTTAATACCGTCGTGCTGGTATCATCACGCCGTCACGATTCGGTATTAAAATATTGCCAAAAATCAATACCACGGGGTTGTACGTAGAGAGTATTAACTTGTAATACCGAGTTGGTAAAACATCAATACTGACTGGTACTGATTTTATACCACCTTTACCCAGGCTCAAACGTGCCCGGTATAGACCCGTGCGCGGGATTTGCAAACTAAATACTCACTTGCAGTTGCAAATCCTTCTCTTTTTAAAAATAAGTTCTTCGAAATAAATTAGTTAGGCTGGGGAATTATTTGAGGGAAAGAAATTGACTACTTCCGATGGAAATTTGGACACGTTGTTATTAAAGGGTAAGCTTAAATTTATTGTTTCTTTTCGTTTTATTTTTTTCCACGTATTAAATTAATGGCGAGGAATTTTAAACCACAAATTTCGTTGTTTTCTGCTGTCTATTAATTAACTTAATTTTTTTTATTTAGCGGTATCATCGACTTCGAAAATTCCTAGTTCCGGCCGTGCATATAGGATTGAGGATAATTTAAGGTTGGTGACTACATTTACAAATCAGAACGACAATTTTAATTAAATTAGACGTTTGTACATATTCTATAATTTCAAATTTCAGCTAATTGACAAATTGTTTTTCATTTATTTCAGTGGAACATTTCCTACCGAATTATGTGGTAAGATAATTTTAAGTTAAAAAACTATATCACAATAACTGCCTCAAAGTGTGAATTGTTTACAAAATCTATTTTTTTTACATTACTTGTGCTTTTAGATCCAGTCAGCTCAACTCTTCCAGATTATTGTGTGTAAGCCAGTTCCATAATTAAGTTATTTCAAAATATTGCATCCGGTTGATTTCCAATATTTATGTCATTTGTAATTTTTTGATTTATTGGTTTTTATTGGTTATTTTTTGGTTTTTTGTTTTTTGTTATTGTATCAAATAAATAACATTAAAATCAATACCAAGTAGTACTAAACCATTATTTTTCATACTGCATGGTATCACTCATTAATACTGATGCGTCCAATATTGCTACCATTCGGTATTATTAAACTATACCACCATGAAAATAAATCAATACCGCTAAAACCAAAAAATAACCAATAAAAACCAATAAATCAAAAAATTACAAATGACATAAATATTGGAAATCAACCGGATGCAATATTTTGAAATAACTTAATTATGGAACTGGCTTACACACAATAATCTGGAAGAGTTGAGCTGACTGGATCTAAAAGCACAAGTAATGTAAAAAAATAGATTTTGTAAACAATTCACACTTTGAGGCAGTTATTGTGATATAGTTTTTTAACTTAAAATTATCTTACCACATAATTCGGTAGGAAATGTTCCACTGAAATAAATGAAAAACAATTTGTCAATTAGCTGAAATTTGAAATTATAGAATATGTACAAACGTCTAATTTAATTAAAATTGTCGTTCTGATTTGTAAATGTAGTCACCAACCTTAAATTATCCTCAATCCTATATGCACGGCCGGAACTAGGAATTTTCGAAGTCGATGATACCGCTAAATAAAAAAAATTAAGTTAATTAATAGACAGCAGAAAACAACGAAATTTGTGGTTTAAAATTCCTCGCCATTAATTTAATACGTGGAAAAAAATAAAACGAAAAGAAACAATAAATTTAAGCTTACCCTTTAATAACAACGTGTCCAAATTTCCATCGGAAGTAGTCAATTTCTTTCCCTCAAATAATTCCCCAGCCTAACTAATTTATTTCGAAGAACTTATTTTTAAAAAGAGAAGGATTTGCAACTGCAAGTGAGTATTTAGTTTGCAAATCCCGCGCACGGGTCTATACCGGGCACGTTTGAGCCTGGGTAAAGGTGGTATAAAATCAGTACCAGTCAGTATTGATGTTTTACCAACTCGGTATTACAAGTTAATACTCTCTACGTACAACCCCGTGGTATTGATTTTTGGCAATATTTTAATACCGAATCGTGACGGCGTGATGATACCAGCACGACGGTATTAAAATTTTTCAAAGATCAATACCCAGTTTCTAAGAGTGTATGTATAGTGAATGGAGCTTGGAACGTTTACTAAAACAAATATTTACCTCGTGAAAATGTAAATTCGAAGTTTTAGCGAAACCTTTTCCACACACGGCACAACTGTTCGGCTTCTTTGTCGTATGAATGAAAGTGTTATTTTCAAGATGGATCCGTGTCTTAAATTATTTTTCACAAAGGACGCATCGATATCGGACCGGATTCTCGGAATGTTGAGTTTTTTGGTGTTTCGAAACACTATACTTGTCCAAGTAGGTTTTCTCACAGCCGGGAAATCCACATGGCAAACGGGGTCGTTCCCCGGAAGTGTTGTGGACGATGTTTACGTGTCTCCGAAAGTTGGTAGATGTATTGAAGACGCGGTGACAAACGTGGCAACAGTGTTCCTTAGGTTTGATATGGATTGTGCGCATGTGTGTAGATAAGGTTGTTGGATTTTTGTAAATTTTTCCGCAAATCTAGGCAATATAAAATGGGTAAAATGTTAGCAATCCAGTATTACCAAGGAATATTAAGCGGTATTAAGCTTTGACCCTACGTAAGTGGCACTGATAGGAAATATGTAGAGTGTAGTAGTACTTATAGGTAGGTAGCTCGCTATTTACCATATCGGTAGAAAAATTCTTACCCACCGGCATAACATTAATACCAAGCGGTAGCAACTGTAATACCGAGAAATCAGTGTCTACATACCCCACATTAACAACACTTTGTTTGTATAGTCAATGTTAAAAGTGAGACCAATTTCTACCCGAAAGAGGCCACTTTACTGGGGTTTTGAAAATGATGCCCTATTCGCCTTGAACAAAGTCACTTTCCTGGTGTTCAGGCCGGTGCGTAATTAAATGAAATCAGTCCCTGCGGGGTAGCAAAGTCACGAGAAAAACCCAAATGACCACGGATCAACACTAAGTCACTCAACAGTGATACTCTTTAAAATATTTATTAATTACAATCAAAAACTTGACGATACATAAATGATTAACGGATCTCGCTTGCTCACGGCACAAAAAGGATAGATCGTGAATGCGGAAGGTGAGAAGAGAGAGAGCGTACTAAAAACTAACAGACAAAGAAAACATACTACGCAGTTTCATCAAAAATGCCTCCAAAACTAACTTACACGCTAGAGGGCAGCTACATACTAGAAACAAAGATAAAACTCACTAACTCATGAATTTCTTCATCCTCCCACCAATTTTCTCGGAAAATTACTAAACTTATATGTACTCGAGTTACAACTATAAATATTAAACTTAAATGAAGAACTAATATTATACACTTAGCACTTTCACTTTTGTCCAAGTCGATCTGGGGTCACGATTTTCCTTCCGAATCGGGACACCACCTCTAGCTTCGCTGGTACATTCTTGACTGTTACCACAGGGGATTGCTTCGCCGCTAGGGTTTTCTTCATTTTCTTCGGTTTTGCCGATACAAATGCAAGAGATTCCACCTGAGACGAGACCTCAAGGGGATAGAGCCGCTGACAAGGTCGAGTTAAGAATCCATTTTCAGTTTTCACACGGGCCACCCTGACTTGTCCGTCTTTCCCAGGAAAGAGCTCCACAATTCTTGCTATCGGCCAGAAGATTCTCTTCTGGTTGTCGCAACTCACGAGGACGAGATCTCCTAGGTGAAATTCCTCACATTTCTTTACTTTTCCCCTCTGCACCAACAAGGAGAGGTATTCCTTCCGGAATCTTAACCTTAATTCCTCTCGTAGGGCCGTCAACTCTCGGTATTTCTTTTGGAGTCCATTTGAATTCAGCACCTCCATTTCAGGCAGCTCCACCGTTGTCACATCCTGGAGAAACATTGATGGCGTCAGGGAGATCAAATCTTCTTGATCTTCAGAGACGTAGGTGAGGGGTCTTCCGTTCATCACCCCTTCCGCCTCGCATATGAATGTCTCCAGCTCGTAGTAATTCAGTTTACTATGTCCAAGCATCCGTTTCAGTAAATCTTTGATGCTTCTGATGAGACGCTCCCACCAGCCGCCCCACCACGGCGCGGATGGTGGATTAAAGATCCACTGGATTCTGTGAAGTTGTGTTGTAATTTGAATCTTGTTCCAGTCCAGTGCCTTGAACAAATTCTCGGCCCCTGTGAAGTTGGTACCATTGTCCGTGTAAATCTTGGTTGGTCTTCCTCTCCTTGACACAAAACGATCCAGAGCGAGCAGGAAGATATCTGTACTGAGTTCATGGACTAATTCCAAGTGCACGCAGCGATACACGGCACAGGTGAACAAAACCATCCACGTCTTGGACTGGTTTTTCAGATGAAACGGGCCAGCCAAGTCAATCCCCGTGATCTGAAATGCTTTGGCATCTTTCACCCGATCTTCTGGGAGAGCTGCTGGTTGGACGTTGGGTGCCTTGGAATTGAACCGTTTGCACCTTTGGCATGATCCAATGACTTGTTTGATTACTCTTCGTCCTTGGACAATCCAATATTTCTCCCTCAATTTGCTAAGAAGAAATTGGACTCCAGCGTGATGATGCTTGAGATGTTCTTCAGTTATCAAGAGTTCCACAAGAGGATGCTTGGGTGGCAGCAGGACCGGCATCCGGAATGAGACCGTATCCTCCCTTTGGATCAGTTTGGTCTGTACTCGAAGCACTCCATCCTCGTCTGCTTTCACCCTGATTCCGGAAATAAGTTGCTTCTCATTCCCAAATCCCTCCTCTTGAACAATTTTAAGAAGTTTATTTTCAGCAGCATAAACTTCTTCTTGGGTCAGATCAGACTTGGCTTGATCTTTGGATGTCCGGTAGCATTTTGCAAATTTGACCAGACGGGCAAAGACCCTCACCGTTTTCATGTAGGAAGAAGAATGGGCGATGTACCATAATCTTGAGTCACCTCCGATGGTCATATTGACTGCTGCAGATTTCTTCTTCTCCTTCATGACTTCCTCCATGTTGGGTTCTTCTTCTTCCCACACCCAAAACTCTTCCGGCTGCACAAGCCAACCTGGTCCCTCCCACCACTTTGATTTTAAAAGTTGGCTGGGGGAGCACCCTCTTGAAGGCAAATCAGCCGGGTTCTTTTTTCCAGGGACCCATCTCCAATCTTCCACCTTGGTCAGCGTCAAGATCTCCTTTACGCGATTCCCCACAAAAGTCCCCCACTCATCATTCTTCCGAATCCAAGCCAAGGCGTTTGACGAGTCACAGTGATAATAAGTGGGCACTTCTGTCAACGATAACGCCTCCTTCACAGTTGAGGCGAGAAGAGCCGCAATCACACATCCAAGCAGCTCCAGGCGATTCATGCTGGTCTCCTTCAGAGGGCAGACCCTGGACTTAGCTTGAAGGATCCGAATCTTGACCCCGTTTTTCTCCTCCGATCCGGATCTCAGGAAGATCACTGCTGAGTAGGCGTTTTTACTCGCATCAGAGAAAGTGTGAAGTTGGAGGTTTGCACCGATTTCTCCAAATGCATGGCGTGGAATTGACACTTTCTCCAATTCATCCACTTCCCTCCACCATGTCACAAAATCCTCCCGCAACTCCCCACTTAAATCTTCATCCCAAGTGGATTTGGATTTTGGATGCCTTTTGAATGAGGAGCTTAGGGATGAGTGTAGCTGGACTCAGAAATCCCAACGGATCAAAAATCTTGTGTGCCACCGATAGGATGTTCCTCTTAGTCAATTTCGGTGGTAGTGGATCTTGTGGTATCTCAATCTTCAGAGAATCCTGATTCTTGTCCCAAATGATCCCAAGAACTCCAGTCAGTGGTTGAGCAGCACCTCCAACAGCGCCCAATCCGCAGTCGCCTGATGGCAACCCGACTCCGGAACCCTGCCCAGCGCTACACTCCCACTGACGAAGTTCCATCTTCGCATCCGCAAGTATCTGGACGGACTTCTCCTTAAATTCTTGATACTCGTCCACAGAATCCACCGACAAGACGCAATTGTCAACATAAAGAGATCGCAGCAACTCCCTTGCTATTGGTTGGAGTTCCGGATCCACATTCTCCAAGTGGAATTTGAGAACAGCCCCCAGAAGAAATGGGCTACAACTGACACCAAAGACCACTCTGGCGTGGCGGTAAATTTTCAAATTTTTTATATCCTGTCCCTCCCACCACAGGAACCGTAAGAAGTCGCGTTCCTGTTCCTTGACCTCGATCATCAGGAAGGCTTTCCGGATGTCTGCAATGACGCCAATCTTCTTCTCCCTGAATCTGAGTAGAATAGCTGGAATCAGTTCCAGAAGATTGGGCCCCTTTTCTAGACATTCGTTGAGGGATGGATTCCGATTCACCTTACAAGACGCGTCAAAAACGGGTCTCACTGGGGTGGTCTTGCTGTTTGGCTTAAAGACTGGTCTGTGGGGAAGGTAGTGCACGTTGTCACAGATCACATCACTATTCACTTCCTCAATTATGCCTTCTCGGCACCAGTCTTTGAAAATTTTTTCGTATTCTTCAAATTTTCCTGCTGACCTCAACTTGGCGGTGGCGGAAATGAGCCTCTTCTGTGCAACATTTTTGTTGTCCGGAATGGATGGCGCACCCTCCACCCACGGAAGAGAGACTTGGTAACGCCATCCTCATTTCGGGAAACTGTTTTCAAAAAATGTTGTTGAGTGGCGATTTCCTTTTCTTCTTTTGATTTGATTTGGGCACAATCCTGAATCCCAATCGATTCCAATGACCACATGTCTGGGATGTTCAGGTCACCGGTCAGAAGGGAAGTGCAAGTCATTGCCACACTGTCTGCTTTTGCTTTGGACCCGGGCACAGCTCCACTTAAGGTCCACCCAAAAACGGTGTGAACAGCCACCAAACCACAACTCAACACAATTGGTCTTCCGGTGACAAGATGCCCCCAATTGTCACTTCCAACCAGGATCTCTACCTCCGGATTATCCACCGCTGTTTGCTCAAGATCAGATATCCATATCTTCTTCTGCTGGAGTTCCCTTATCCATGGACCTCTTGGGACTCGCGGAATGTCACCACAAATAGTAGGAGTTTCCCTCAAAATCAGCTCCCTTTCCACTTTCCCATTCATGCTTTGAATTCTGACTTTGAACCTTTTCACTTTCTTGCAGTCAGTCACTGAACCACCAAACAGAACGTTGCGTGAAAACTCCTCTCCCACCAACTTGCACCCAATCTTGGAGATGGTGGTGGAGCCGACGTTACTCTGCTGACTTCCCTCGTCAAAGATCAATCTGACCACCGTCGACCTCTTTGGACCCAACGCTCTCACCAGCAGCGTCTTCAGCAACACGTCTTTCCTGCATGAGTAGTTAGCCCCCGAGTTGGTGGTCTCCGCCCCGTCTTCTGTTTGTAATGGAGGTTTCTTATTTTCTTGCTGATCTGGACACATCATCTTTACATGAGCGCCCCCACACAAATCACACTTTTGTTGATAACGGCAGTCCTTTGCTTGGTGCTTGGGCTTGATGCATTTGTAGCATAGATTTTTTTGCTTGACAATTCTCTTCTTCTGCTCCAGTGTCATCCTTTCACCCTTGAAACACTCCCTACCGGTGTGATTGGTCTTGTCACAAAACGGACACTGCTTGTCCGATTGACCACTGATAAGACCAGCAGCAGTTGGAAAATCATCTTCCACTACTTTCTTCTCACGCTGCTGGCTCTTCTTTTCTGATTTCTTCTCTTCAGTTCGGGGTGGAGTCATCAAGATAGCAATCTTGGTCTGGATCTTGACCCACTCTGTGAAGCTGACCAGAGATGCAACTTTGCCTGACTCAATCACCTTTCCTTTCCATTGAGCCCTCACAATTGGTGGCAATTTTTCCTCCAAATCAGACAAGAGGATGGGATTTTGAAGGTGGTGGTCTTCACCCAAGGACTTGATGATAGCAGTCAGATTGGTCACTGCTGACCCAAATTCCACCATCGACGCTGGATTTTCATGGGTCACAGAAGGAATTTGTCGAAGTTTCGCTATCATCGCCTTGATGATGTGTTCCTTCTGACCAAACCTTTCTTCCAAAGTTTCCAGAACTTCTGCGAGTCCATCCGGTGAGACCAACATACACTCCACGCTTTTCGCCGCATCCCCTTTCAGGCATTTGCGCAGGCGCTCGATGTTCTCAGCGTCAGAAAATCCGCAAGCCTGGGTCGTTCTTCGGTAGGATGCGATAAATGATGGCCATTCTTCCGCCCGGCCCCCAAAAGTTGGCAGATCTCGTCCAATGGTCTGCCGTATTATCATACGGTCAGTGCTGCTGCCACTACCACTGCTCTTCTCTGCCAGCGTAGTCAGCGCTTTCGCCATCATTTCCAAAACTTGATTGTTGTTATTTGACTCCACTGGTGGTGGTGGTGTTTCAACTGGTGCTGGTGGTGGGGTAAGCACTTTCACTGAACTCGATTCATATTGATTTAACTTTTCATTATCCTCCATCTCCCTGAGCCGCTCATCATCTGACCCAAGTTCTTGCTCTTCATCTTCATCGATGTGGGCAAAGTCTGCCGCCATCACCCTTTTCAATTGAATGATGTCATTCTTCAAACGCTGAATCTTGCCCTTAGTTCTTACTGATTTAAGGGCGTATTCCGTTTTCTTCTCCAACAATCTCTTCATTAATTCTTTTAGATCTAGCTTGAGATCTGTTGCAGCTTCTGGGTCGTATTCTGTTTTTGTGGGGTCGCATTTCTCCTGCATGGATTTAATGGCTGTTTCAAAACTGGCTACCTCCACCCCCACAAACTCCAATTCTTCTTCCAACTCCAAAATCTCGTTTTCTTTATCGATAATTTTCTGACCATGCTCCGCCTCCGCATCTGCCCTTCTTGTGTTCGACGACACTGAAGAAGACGATGGGGACGACTTCTTTCTTCCAAACGGGGTGTAATTGAGCATTTTTCCAAGCAGGGATTGGGACTTGATTTCGGATTTGGGAGTTCCACTTTCTTCGCCCTTCGCGGCCCCTTCCAAGTCTTCTTGCACAACCCTCTCCCCCTTTGACCTCTCATAAGTGGATGGAGTGAACCGGTCCGGTTCTCTCTTTTCACGGTCACTCCTCCTCAAATCGTTTCCGTCCTCGTTCATGATGGCACCGGAAAACAAAAATTCCAAACAAAAAACGAACAAATTAGTCGGTGTTTTCTACAACGGCTGACTGGACCTCGTCTCTCTCTTTTTCAATTCCGCAACGAATTTGCACAAGTTAATTCCACAATGGATGACAAAACAAAACAAAAACGGAAAGATCTCACCAAATTTGCCCCCGAACAGCTCAGGGTCGGGCCCAAAAAATGGCAAGGTTTATGGTGAGTCTTCTTATCACTCGTATTTGACTCCGCGGTCACGTCGCCTCCAATGCTCTGATCTTCCACAAATCACGCCACACGATCCTGGCAAGGTCGCCAAATGTTAAAAGTGAGACCAATTTCTACCCGAAAGAGGCCACTTTACTGGGGTTTTGAAAATGATGCCCTATTCGCCTTGAACAAAGTCACTTTCCTGGTGTTCAGGCCGGTGCGTAATTAAATGAAATCAGTCCCTGCGGGGTAGCAAAGTCACGAGAAAAACCCAAATGACCACGGATCAACACTAAGTCACTCAACAGTGATACTCTTTAAAATATTTATTAATTACAATCAAAAACTTGACGATACATAAATGATTAACGGATCTCGCTTGCTCACGGCACAAAAAGGATAGATCGTGAATGCGGAAGGTGAGAAGAGAGAGAGCGTACTAAAAACTAACAGACAAAGAAAACATACTACGCAGTTTCATCAAAAATGCCTCCAAAACTAACTTACACGCTAGAGGGCAGCTACATACTAGAAACAAAGATAAAACTCACTAACTCATGAATTTCTTCAGTCAAAATTAGAAATCACGTCTCAGTTTTACCAAGGTGTTTTCTAGTAGACGCTTACCTCACATTTAATCTTTACAGCGGGGTCGTGCGTGACGGCGTGCTTGACGAGTTGCCACTTGGCTTTGAACACTTTCGAGCACTTTGAACATTCCAATTTTCCTCCTGGTTTGATATCCATCGACTTGTAAACTTAAGACTTACTCGATTAAAATGTGTTGGATTAATTGAACAACGTAGAAAATGTCCTAAGATGAAATTTGTAAGGAAAATTAGACCCACTGTTTAAGCAGTGAGTGTTAAGAGTTATGTATGTCGTACGAATGACAATTGTGATTCAATGGAGCAATGAGTTTGATGGAAAAATGTTGTTTTTTAAAACACACGACATGCAAGTAACGAAGAAACAGTGGTAGCTGATTCCTTTTACATGGGATATAAACAAGCCCCCAAAAAAGGGAAATCTTAGTGAGGCTGGATACAGCTATCAATATTAAATAAATTTTTCGGAACAACATTTGAATCACGACTCTCCAAACTATTTTAGCTTAGATGATTTAATTACTGGTAGAATTATTGATTACGTACATTGTAGATGTACAAATTGAATAACAATGAAAAACTTTATTGTTTTTTAATGGTGTCAAGTTTTCGATCTCGATCTCGATGCGATCGTCATCAGGACGGACTTAATTACATAATTATTAACAAATTACTGCAATTAAATATATTGAACTAAAGATTTCGAATGAAGACAACAGGAATCCATATTCTGATCAATACAAATTAATGTTCGAATAGATAATTTTAAGAGTGGTGATGCAAATGCTGTTCCGAAAAATTTATTTAATATTGATAGCTGCACCCAGCCTCACTGAAATTTCCCTTTTTTGTGGGCTTGTTTATTTAATACTTGTAATTGAGTTATTTAGATACTAAACACCACGCATGCCCGAAATTAAATTTTGCATGTATTTTGCAAATATTTTGCCACATAACTCGAGTATGTGGAACTCATATATTCATTCCATTAGTTGTTGTCAATGGCGTTTTTTACCACCCCTTAAGCTTCGTCCAATTGTTTTGCACCTCTTATAGGAAAAACTTTGTCATTTATGAACCGATTTTAATCATACTACCCTTAAAATTTGCACAAAAATATACTCTAAAATTTGTACAATTCGTTTTTCATTACGATACGCCATTAATTAGCTATAAATATAAATACGTTTCCAGAGGTATATTTTTGCCCATAACTCGCGTAAAAATCAAGCATTCGCTAAGTCGGACCAGATCCCGTTTCTAAATTATGTAACAATAATCGGTGCAAAATTTCATCAAAATCGGTTGAGAAATGACTGAGATATCGCAGATGGTCACTTTTTTGGGGTGGGGTAAATGCATACTTAGTAAATTTTTTTCGTTGTTAGGTATTTTCCTCATTAAGAAAAAATAACTGACCATGCATTGAGAACCATACATATGCATAAATTTATACATACATACGTAGATCAATGACCCAAACCACATTTTTTATATGTACATTAACCTTCCCTTACGCCTAATTAAAAATGCATACTTTACTTGTAATCGGTCACAATTACATATGTATACAAATAAATATTAATTAACTTCATCAATTTTATTCACTTTAAAATCCGCCCTTATTACTACATCCATAATTTTCCAGTACTTCACTAAACATCCTCTCTACCCCAAAAATTCCCGCTATGTTCAAAAACTCTTCCATAATTTTTGGAAACGCGGACAAAATACTTAACGCGAACTCGATCGAGTCCAAAACCAAGAAAACTATTGTATTCAGGGTGGTCATATTTTTAAAGAAGAAAGCCAATCCGTCCATTATCAAAGTATTCAGTGACACCGGCATCATTCCAGAGGCGAACGGGATTGTAATAAATATTTTGGAAAGTATGGTCCAAATCGTGCCCACCCAAGGGGGAAGTACGCCGGGAAAATTGATTCCACTAATTGCCCCGGTAAAAAGGTCGACAAATTTCGAAATCCCGATTTCACTCAGGAATCCAACATATGCCGAAAATCCGGACATTGCGAGAGTAATGTAGGTCAAGTCTTGAGCAATGTTTTTCATCCCGTCACATTTAGTGGGAGGCTGCGGCATCTCGAGTATCCTATTCCAAATCTTGTCACGGCGTAGTTTTGGACGAACGACGAAGTAATTAGAGCATCGTTTATGGCCATAATTGTTGTTAGTGCTGAGCCTAATCCAACTATTAGGATCTGAAATTTAAAATTTATTTTAAAATTTTGAAATTTATTTTTTTTTGCATTTCTGGAATTTTCATTTCACTCATAAAATTTTGTAACGTTCCACAGAAATATTTAACATAGAAGCTATTCGCTTTATCTTAAAGCTTGCAAATTATCACATTTAAGGTTAGCAGAATATTTTTCTAAAGTAGTGTGCCAACTAAAACTTAAGTATTTGACATGGATCGCAATTAATTAAATCTATTCAGAGAAATATTAAGCGATGTTCACTTTAAAAGTATTCCAAGATTTTGACCATCCACTTCTGCGTTTTTCAGATAACAAGATTGAAAAAAGAAATAAAAAAGACATGTAAATAATTATTTATATATTACGAGCAAGTAAACTATTATTGAGTAATTTAACATAAAATTATGTATCACAAACAATTTAATTATATATCTTACCAGCCATAACACCATTTTCAGATTTAAGGTTCAAACTTAAACACAAATGTGTAATGAGAATGATAAAAATAAAATAACAATTAATCCGATTAGACCAGAACATTTCTATAAGTTCTATATAAAATTTCAAGTTTGAATAATTTTTATGACATATTTGTTGCAAGGAATCACCCAAACTTGGGCGACAACTGAAACAATAAAGCAGTTAACTGGATACGTGTGAGATTTACAGAATTTTGCCAGGGTGTATAACGCCCAATTTTTTGCAACGTATTGAAATCGTTTTTCACTTATGAATATATAGAATTATTTATTTTGCAGTGTTCACTTTAAATAAAGTTGTATAAAATTTACTCAAGTTTGAGTAACGTAGTGGACCCAAAAAAAGTGTATCTAACAATGAGTAATTTGACACAGCTCCATTTATTTAGAGGGTTCCATGCAGATGCGAATGCGGAAAATTGAAAGTCTGAAAAATATTGATTTATTCTAAGACAGATAGGTTAAGGCTTAAGGTTTTAGAAATCTTAGAGGTCAAGAAGCCATATAACTAACATTAATAGCTGCTGTAAAAAAATTATAAAATCGGGAAAATTTGATAAAATATTGGCGAAATATTGTAGTATTAATAACACCATGTTGGATTAGAAAAATGCGACAATATTGAACCCTATTTTTACTTATATTCGCTAGCAGTAAGTCCATCCATGGTCTTGACCAAGATAATGGAAATGTCTAGTTTGATGAGGTACCTTTCGGAATGATGTCAGCAGATTGGATATGATAAATAAGCACCTTTTCATTAATGTCACTCTGTTCATACATTTCCTAAATAGTGGCAGTATCCATTCTATTGATACTGCTAATGAGTGAGCAAACAATGATATTGTAGATGTAACATTACTTACATATTTACACACATTCTGTACATCGTTAGCTTCTACTGAAAAAATGATTTTACGCTACTGCTACTTTAATGGGTTAAACACATTTTTTTTGCTTTGGTGGCATGACAAATGATTTATTTTAGCCGGATTTAACCTGTCAAATGATATTTGTGCATTTTGTTGTATAAATTGTCCCAATTAGAGCCACTTAATAGGTCAATTACGTTAAACAGATTATAAATATTTAGGAAAATTCAATTTGCAAAATAATAAACCGTTACAACGCATGTAACCAAGGGGTGAAAGGAGTGTCATACGTCAATGTGAATATCAAATTGTTCGAAAATTTGTTAAGATTGACACTTCTGACGTGTTTTCGACTTTTGTGTCTTATTTGTGTCAAATTTAACAGTTGATAACCCTTATGTGACCTTTACATGACCTCTGAGGTCAAAATGGAGGTCACCATTGAATTTGACATTGAAAAATAGTTAAAAATGATGTGTCACATGTCAAAACTGACAAGTGACACTTTTTCGTCACTTTTCGTCACTGTGACGATGTCATCGTCACAGGTGACGTCCAAACACAAAATGACCTGAATTTTCGAATTCCTCGTTGAAAATTAGTTAAAAATGATGTGTCACATGCCAAAACTGACAAGTGACCCTTTTTCGTCACTTTTCGTCACCGTGACGATGTCATCGTCACAGGTGACGTCCAAACACAAAATGACATGAATTTTCGAATTCCTCATTGAAAAATAGTTAAAAATGATGTGTCACATGTCAAAACTGACAAGTGACACTTTTTCGTCACTTTTCGTCACCGTGACGATGTCATCGTCACAGGTGACGTCCAAACACAAAATGACATGAATTTTCGAATTCCTCGTTGAAAATTAGTTGAAAATGATGTGTCACATGTCAAAACTGACAAGTGACCCTTTTTCGTCACTTTTCGTCACCGTGACGATGTCATCGTCACAGGTGACGTCCAACCGCAAAATGACATGAATTTTCGAATTCCTCATTGAAAAATAGTTAAAAATGATGTATCACATGTCAAAACTGACAAGTGACACTTTTTCGTCACTTTTCGTCACTGGGACGACGTCATCGTCACAGGTGACGATGTCACAGTGTCCATCTTCGAAATCGTCCTGTCCCTTGACGCTAGGAGTTTACGTTCAAAATTTCAAGTGTCTATGTCTTTTCGTTCAAAAGTTATCGGAGCTACGGACAGACAGACGGACGGACGGACGGACGGACGGACGGACAGACAGACGGACATAACGATCTTATAAAGGGCTTTCACCCCTTAATAATTGCTAAGTGCTCTTACATATACTGCATGCATGAAAGGCTTGCCTTCACACACTAATTTTAAATTTGTTTCTGAAATTTAATATTTGCACATGCAAACTTGCAAATTAAATAGGATGCTAAACCAATTAAACATGAAAGTGAAAAGTTAATTTTCAGTGATTACTAAATTATTAATCTATTATTTAAGAATAATAATATTTATTATGCTGATCTTATGTGTGATACATAATATAACTCATGTTACATATATAAATTTAATTAAGTTAATTTATTAATTAATTAATTAACCACCCCCACGAAAATGGGACCACGGTTGCACTCGATCTTTAAAAATTTTATTCGTAAATTTTATTAAGTGAATTACACAGAAGTATTTATGGAACACGTTTGCTTTATATGTAAATATTTCGAATGCTAAATATCTCCAGTTCATTACCCAAGGAAAGACTAAAAATAATCGCAAAGATGTATGGAAAAATTAGTTTTTATTATTTAAAATTCACAAGACTCGTTATATGCATTTGTGCGTTGAAGTCAAGGGGTAAAATTTTGAAGCGATAAAGTAACTATATTATACGTACAAGTCATAAATATATTAAATAATCCGTTACGAAGTAATTAATCTTTGCATAACGGAGGGTTAACATGCATAAAGACATTTAGCTCGAATAAGGACGCAACCGTTATAGCAATCAAGTAACCAGCCAATGCGACAATACCGACTTTTAAGTCGATCTTGAATCTATTCGCGGCAATGATGAGGTATAACCCAATCATGCATCCGATCAGGATGAAGGCAGTATAACCCAAGGCTCTCGAATTCATGACGATGTATCGCTCATTCGCGCTCGAGTCGCCGACAAGGATTAAGGTCTGGATCATCCAAGGGGCTCCGAGGCAGACCAAGATGTTGAAAATGTTGGATCCGATTGCGTTGTTCATGGCCATAGTTCCCATTCCTGATAAATGTTTTTACAAATAAGTATGAATACATAAAATTTTGGACAAATTATACTTGTTTTTAATCTTAGCCCTTTAACATGTATGATTAACGACAAGAAAATGCAGTAAATCGGGGACACTATAAGTATGTTGTGGTCATGGCGCGCGAGGAGAAATTCAGGAGTTTTTAATAAAACTCGAAAAACTCAAAAATCAAAAATTTAACATTGACTTGTATAGGGAAATATCCAAATTTTTGGGAAGAAAATCTTCAAATTTAGTAATGTGTTGGCATAGGAGAAATCCCTCAAAATTGCAACAAATTTTATGTCGCGGAGAGAAAATGATGAAAATCAATGACCTCCTAGAAACGACAATTGTCTTCCTTCAGCGCCATGACCACGATTTTTTAGGACGACGTTTGTCTTACTCCCGAATTAAACCATTTCTTATAAAACGACAATTGTCGTCGTTACAGTTTAAACAAGCGAGAGCTCTTCAATAATTTTTTTGTGAGGCTATAAGCTGCCTGCTACATTTCACACAGAGAATGTCCTTCGAATGTATTTCTAATACATAAAAGAAAAAAAATTGTTTCGCTTTAAAAATAAAACCTAGACCATCCGACATTTGTTGTCGGTTGGTAGCAAGTTTCCATGAAATTCAAAATTCGAAGTACAAAATAAAATTTCGGAGGAATTTTTGTAACTAATTCTTGCGGTAACAAAACCTTATGGTAAGGACTCATCAAGAAATAGTTTTAGTATCAAATTAATTTACATCTTACCCCTCCGCGCAACGATGATAGAAGAGACGGCCTGTGGTACAGATGTCCCCATAGCAAAAAGCGTGATGCCCATGACCGTGTCGGGAATTCCGAACGTCCAACCTGGTCAATGAGTCGGGAAACCATAATTTAGAAAAATTCCCAGGAAGTGACTTGATTAATCGCTACCAACCTATCACTGTTACCATCCAGCCCAACAAATAGCAGAGGATCGTATTCCAAACGATGCACATTAGGAGCGTGACCGGAAACCATTTCCGAACAGTGGGCAATTTACAGTCGGGAATGGTCACCTTGTACAAAAGTCGGATTGGCCAGCCCACAATAAACTTTGTCCAGACGAGGTACGACTCACCGAAGGGGAGTGGCCATATGGGCATAGTTTCTATAAAAAAGTCAGTAACGCGTGAGAAATGTACAGTTAAAATTACGTAGTAGCAACGTGTTACTTTAAGTAGTAAAGATAAATGTTTACGTGGGTTACAATTTGTCGCCAAGTGTGAACATTTTTTATAGGAAATTGAAACCTGCTGGGACAACGGGGTACATTTGGATTTCGCAGAAATTATTGTTACCATTTGGTGACTAGTTTAATTGCGATCCTCAGTAAAGTAACACTTTGTTGCCAAGAAATTTTGAGTGTAATTTAGTAATTGTTCTGTGTATATTTACCATCATCAAACTCGTTTGGAATAGGTTGTTCTTCGTCCTCATCTAATTGACTTTGGTTGCTTAGCACGCTATTTAAACTGTTGAAAGTGGACGCTGTCGACAAGCCTTTCTTCGACGGGGTTTGTTTCATCGATCCTTGAAAACACTTGATACTTCGAACCTTTCGGACCATTCGTTTAACGAAGGCGTGAATTCTTTTGTTGAAGATTATTACTAAATAAATTTAGAAAAGAAAGTACATATTTAAAAAAAATATCTCGCATGACGAGGATTTTGGTACGAATTCGTAGTGCAGGTAATCCAATCCGATCCGGCCGGTTACAAAAATCCGATCCGATTCAACTGATCGGACATTTTTGGATCGGATCGGATTCTAGCAACACCACAAATTTGCGAAGCCGACATACCAACAATGTAGCCACCGTACAGGAGCACAAGTAACAAGCCGTCGTACCAGTGGACATGATTGTCCCGCAGGATTAAGGCCAAGACGCTGACGGAAATGACGTAAACGAATGTATCCCGGGATAATGGATACCACTCGATTTTTGCAGCGGTCTGGAAAGGGATGCAATAATTTTCACACTCAATATTTACATATTGTTTCAGCGTGAAGTGCATTTATAAAAACGCACTTCACGCACTTCACGCAGTAGTCTAAAAACATCAATCCATTTCAACGAATATGTTGTACATAATCTACATATTTACCTTTCTGCAAATTATGCCAATAGATGCGGCCACCGCGAAAAGGTTAAACACTGATGCTCCCACGATAGATGAAATCCCAAGATCCCCTTTCGCCACGAATGTCGCTATCACATTGGTGAACAGTTCCGGGGAAGAATTCGAAATACCGAGAATCGTGCAACCCGCAATTTCACTTGGGATGTTCAAAACTAAAGTTAATTAAAAAATTCATTCGCGTTTTTTTATTGAAAAACATTCACATGAAATTTCATTTACTAACTTGCACATATCCAAAGTTAGTGCTTTGTTAGCAATTTTTTTCACAATTATGTTGCGATGAATGCATGAAAATTCGCAATAATCAATACCCTCAAATATTTCGTTTTAATACTACAGACCATAACACTTTTTTTGTACTCTACATACCTTTCGCCATAATTTCGACCGAAGGGACGAAATAGTCATCGCACACGATTGCCAGGGCATAGAAGAGGTATAACGTTGCCAAAATGTGAATCGTGATCCAGCCCGATTGCAATTCACTTGTGGAAAATAAGTCCTTCGGGAATTCATCGATCGCGGGTTCCCTACATTCTTCGAGGTCTTCGGCTTCAGTTGTCTCGTGACCTGTCGCCGTAGATTGGTCTGTAAGAGGTTAGTAAATTTGATTAGTGTAACCAATTGAACGACATTCGTAAATTTTATGCGGGCATCATCCCCATGAAAGTTTCAAACTTCAGTTTTTAATAAACAAATTAACCAATTTTCAAATTTTGAATTTAATCAAACTGAAAAATGAAATAATATTTTGTCTCATTTGCACCCACCTGATTTTTAATGGCTATTTTTGGTTGCAATGAAGATGTGTGTACATACACACATTAAACCTTATCGATTGATTGATTAACGTTTTTGACTGATTATTGTGTAACAAGGACAATATTCCTCCACAAGTGACACTCAACTATTTATGCATGCATGTATGTATGTATGCTGGGCATGGTAACATTATTCGTAAATGTGTAGATTCATAAATATATAACGTTTTTACGATATATTTTTAAAAAAACGGAAAAATTTTTTACGGACCTTGCGCATATGAAACTTCATAACCATGGAATTTTCTAAGATGTAGTACAATTTATTTTACACTTGTATTTACCACAGTTGCGAAAATTACATACATTAAAATCAGCATCACTGCGAAATAAGTTTGCAATTGCAATAACAATTTATACAATATTTATTATTACAATATTACAATATTATTACAGTAATCCTGCCGGATTAGGATGCCACAAGTCCTTGATAATCAAACCAATTTGAGCTGGATTTTGATACGTTTCAGTCTCGTGATACACACACATACATTATCCCTAAATTGCGACCACTTTTGTTACCATATGTCATCACCCCCGTTTAATTAACATACATACATATGTATGCTTGTATAATAAAAATTGTGATTATTTACATTACACAAAAGTTTAAGTGGAAAAACAAGGCAAAAAGGTCACTGTATTTGTAAATATTTCCAATTCTATCTGGCATTATCCAACCATATGCAAAAAAGGGACACAAATATATCGCAAGAAAGAAAATACAAAAAAAAACAACAAAAAAAAGTTTCACCTCTTCCAAAATTGGTGTTTTCTGATAGCAATTCATCATCCATGGAAACTTTCAATCCTGCGAAATGTTCGGGTTTTCCAGGCATCACTTCATTCTGCTGGATCGTGGCCGTCCATCCGTCCATATTTCCGATGGCGTTTTGCAAAACTCGAGCACTCGCCAAAAGCTCCAGCGCTGAAATTGTTCTTGTCCTCGCACCCATAATCGAAGATGTTGAGCAGAAAAGAAGCAGCAAAAGAATTACGAAACGTGACGCCATTTTGCGTAAATTTCGTTTTATGTATAAAATTCTTTTGATGGAAGACTTTTAACGGGAACTGTTCTCGTTTCAGGATAGATTATTTATTACCAGGCGAAGACCAGTTGAAGACTAAACTCTTACATCCTGTGCTCGTTGTTATCCCCCAATTTTAACAAATGGTAATAAAGCAATAAATTAATAAGCAATGGAAAGAGGTTCGTTGCTCGAATTGTTAATCATACGTGGATAACCTACGTGTTAAACTGCACTCTTAAAAATAATGCGACCCTTTGGAAAAGAACTTATATGCACTCTAAATTTTATATTAAATAAACCACTCTAAATTCAGAGAACCATTGACTTGACAAAGATCAAAGTTTACTCTGGATTTAGCGTAGTTTCCTTAATTTAGAGGGCATGAAGTTTTCAAAACGGTACCATTATTATTAAGAGTGATTGCAGCTGTAAGGTGAATATTGAGCCAATGTATATAGAGCTTGATGAGGATTTCAAGCAGATAAGAAAATGTCAGGCTGTTGGTCATTATCATAATAAATAAATAAATGCGAATGTTATCAAATTTGTTAAATGCTTTGACTTAATCCTTCAATTACTCATTGTATTTCATTGCCCGTGTACATTGGGCAAGGTTGTACAATATATGCAAGTTGTGTTTGTATGTATGCGTGATGGAAAACTTTACATTGCAAATAAATCAATAAATACGGACTTAAACTCGACACGAGCTGATTAAATGGTATCCAGTGTTCAATAAAAAGCAAACAATGCGCTAATGTTTTATTGCTTCTTACACGGCACTGTTCTGCTGAGTCTTTAATGTTGGAAATTGTATACATATGTAGATAAATAAATACTTGAGGAGGTCGTGGACGCAAAACATAAGTTTAACTTAAGATTATTACTTTCTGCGTCTTGCAATTTTTCACACTGCAAGAAACTAAACAGTAATGTAACCCTTTTACCCAATTTAATCAGTGTTTCCACAATCATACGTATTGGTGCAAAAAGGAATTACTAAATCGTATGCAATATACATACATATGTACATATTTATGCATTATAATTACATATGTATTACACGTGCACATTTGTATACCTAAATTGTTCCTACATGGGGCATACTATTTTTGAAATATATCAAACACTTTATTGGGGCACGATTAATCTAACAAACCGTTTTTCAAATATGTTAAATATTTTTATTTAATAATTGTAACTTAACTGTAATTCAAATTCGAATTTAAATTTGTGAGTAAATGCACAAAAAATTATTAATTGATTTTCTTAGCGTTGACATATCCCATAAAAAGCATCATTCCCATTCGGTCCATCAATTTCGTTGCACCCCAGATTTGCCAAACATCTATGAATTGGTTCTTCTCGAGCCGTATTGTAAAACGAGCACATCGTTCCCTCCACTCCGGCGCAGAGAAGTTGTTCCTCGTCCCACACTTGGGAGGGAAAATGGGCACATTGGCACACCCCTTGGAAACATTTGAGGCCTCGTCGCTCATCACATCCGAATTCTCCTTCAGAACATGGCTGGGCATAACCTGTAAATAATCTTTTGTAATTTGAAGTTTTTATGGGTGATCGTACATATCGTTAGCATTCAGAATTTCGGTAGTACACTCTTAAAAACAATGTTACCCTATACAATAACAAATGCATTCTGAATTTTGTATTATTTAAAGTATTCTAACTCCAGAGTAGCGTTAACTTGATAAAAAGTCAAGTTTACGCTGGATTTAGTATGGTTTTCGTAATATAAAATTGGGAGTGTGTTCAGTTTTCAAAAAGGTGACATTATTTTTAAGAGTGCACATAAATAGGTCATTTATTTGACATTGTGACCAAACTTCCTAGAAAGAAGAAAGAACTGTTTTTTTTAATTGCAGAAGGTAAATATTTTCTGTCGCTAGATGGCGTAAAATCGTACTTTTCTTTACTTTACGAATATGCATTGACAAGTATATACAGCGGTAATGAAAGTTTCTCAAATTTTTTTGCTTAGAAATTTTTTAGAATTTTGTTACCGGGGTTACCGGTGATAAACTGAATTAATATGAAGTACCAATTTTTTTTCATTTATACACATACCTGGTCGACAATGCTCTCTATCAACGGTCGGCAAATAATTGCTTTTATCACACCCGCACCGATATCCGGTGATTGAGGGAGTATGCGGAACACAGGCCATGTCTTCTCCACATCTGACGCTTGATTGTGGTTGGCATGGAAACCCGACTTTTATATTGCACGTGTAATTCCGTTCCATCCAGACCTGATTTAATGAATTTTGACATTCGCATCGTCCAGCGGCGCAGATCAGTTGGTCGTTTGGATAACACTCCGCCGAAGTTTGGCAAGGGTAGCCGTACGATTTTTGACAAAACCCGTCAGGAGCTAAAGAATGTTCCGGAGGAAATTTATTTAAATCACTTATTTCTTATTCATTGTATCCGAAATTCACCTAATTGCATAAATTTCTCAATACACCCCATGTACTAAGCATGTAGTAAAAAATAAATAATGAAAACAATGATTTATTCATTGTTAATGAATATGAAATGAATAAAATCCAATATTCATTCATTCACAAATTTTGAAAAATATTCACTCATTATTCTTGAATTTACTGACTAATGAATGAATAACTTATGTATTGCTCCTAAATTACTTAAATAAATTCATCTCCAAAGTTCAGACACGTTCCATAAAATTCTATTCAATTTTTTGTATTACTTAAATAAATAATTTTACAACGTACTTGGAAAATAGTTGCCGTAACAATGGCACTTGTTATCTCCGCAATAAGCTTCCTCTATACAATCCGCCCAATCTGAGCAATCTCCCCCCGCCAGAGTTTGACAGCGAGAGACCTCCTCGTTATAAATAGCGTCAATCTTGCACTGGCAAATTTGTTCGCGACACTCCAACCCGATGGAAGTCAGGCATTGATCATTCTCCGAGCAAGGATCGCCATGACCACCGGATTGACCAGTGGATGACGCAATTAGAAAAATTGCGAAAATTAATGGACCAAAAAGTGCAGAATTTCTCATTTTTATTTTTTTGTAAGACCAGTGCTGCAGAAGGTTTTGGAGAGAATGATGTAATCTGCAACTATGTGGTGCTATTTATGTATAAGTGTGTTGTATATGGCTTCATTATAATTAGTTAGGTAGGTGACACGATTTTAAGAGCATTATCATGTTGGGCTTGACACGTGTATGACAGGTTATCTTGGTGAATTGAATTGATCTGGAATTTCCACAATGACACATACTGTTACAGTGTTTAGAGTGCAACAGTAACAAACCTGTGCAGGAAACTGGTTTCTTGCAGTTGTATATTTTGATCTGCAGGAAATATTTACAAGCAGGAAGGGACTGCCTTCCCTGCATGATTGTTCATGGCAGAGCTCGGGTAAAAATATCGGGTAAAAATTTCTAAATTCCGGCTGAGTTCGATACCCGGGTCAAAATTACGCCCTCCAGTATCCAAGTAAATATCCATATCCGGGCCAAATTCTTGCCCACTAACTTCCAAACATCCGATACCCATGATATCCGCCGAGCTATGGTTCATAGGGGCCGTCGCTATATAGATGGCTCATATTTTTTTACACTTTCTTGCTACACTCTTAAACATAATATACATAACAATTTTGAAATTAAATGCACTCTGATTTCTATATTATTCAAACTCCATTACTTACATATGTTCATCTAGAAGAACCTACCTATACTCTTTATCAGGCTAACTGTACCCTGATTTAGTATGAATTACTTTATACGCAATTGAGCATGAATTTGCTTTCCAAATGGGTAATATTATTTTTAAGTGTGTTTTCTTCTTGCATGACAAATGATGCACACTGTACCTAAACTGTATTTGTTAAACTCGTCGTTTGTTAAACGTTTGGAAATTCATTATTGATGTAAGATATGAGTGACAAATTCGAATCGATCGATCAAATCGTGACGTTTCAATTAAAACGAGACTTAACAGGTTCTGTAAATATACGGCTGTTATCACTTTAATGGTGATCATTGAGGTTAATTAGTCATATTACGCTTTCATCACGCCATGCTTTTGATTATCTTACAAATGTTTAAGGAATTAAATATGGATTTATTTTATACCATCCAACGAAAATTTGGTTTATTCAAATATTCCAATAAGATTTAAATTGGGGCTTTTTATTGTAAGTAATTTAGCTTAATGTTATTCTAATTTTTTGGTTACTTATGTATTGCTGGACGTAATCCACTCTGGCATTAATCAACGGGACTACTATTTGTCCACGGCAAGTTGAACCCGGAGATATGGGAGACTAAACTCAGTTCAACGTTAATAAGCATGGGCCAGGATTTAGTCTTCCATATTTCCGGGTTCAACTTGCCGTGGACAGACTATAATTTATTGAATACATAAAGTTACCCCTCTTTATTGATTTTGTACACTTGGTAATTTGGCGTGATATTGTGTGTAATTTTTGAAGGCGATGAGTTTGTGAATTATTTATTACACAAGGAACGGGATGATTCCAAATAAAATATTTACTTATAACAATAGTAGAGTTCAGGTTTGATAGTCAAAGAGAGAGGTTGGGTGTAAAAAGTTGCTCCTGCAGCAAGTAGTCAAGAGTAGTAGTAGCAAGTTATAAAGCCATAACATGGCAAAGTTATATAAAACTCGAAAGACAAGATATTTTAATGAAAGACTTGTTTGAGATTGTTCAGACTTTGAGAAATCAAATCGCCGAACAACAAAAGTGTACAGAATTTTTCGAAGAAAAAATTGTGAAACAAGTTCAGGAACTTAAACTGAGGATTGAGAACCAAGAAATCATAATAAATTCAGTTATAAGCAGAGAAACAACAATGTTAATGGAATCAAAATCCGAGCCAGATGAAAAATTGTCACTAGAAAAGGATTTAAAAAGCCGAGAAAGGAAGAATAATATCGTTCTACATGGTTTTGTTTCAGAGCAAATCCCAAATTTGACTGAAAATGTTAAAAAGTTTTTGTCAAAAGTTTTACACGTGAAGCCATGCATTTTGAGAGTCCGTAAAATTCGAACAAGGGATATCTTGAACCCACCTATTGTTATAACAGTAGCCGGCCCGGAGGACAAAAGCTTGATATTTGGAAATGCTCATAAACTGAAAAATTACAAGATTCGGATATCAATTACAGACGATTTAAACGCATAACAACGTAATTGTACTACAAGGCCATCAAAAGTTCAGAAAAAATTGCAACAGGATGAGATTTCTGACAAGGTGACCTTGCCACATAAACCAAGAAACACCGTCCCACGGACAACAAAAAGAGAAGGGAAACCCAGCATATCAACACTGAATAAACTTGATGTTATGAAGTTAAGCATGGACACCACAGTAAGCAAACTGGTTTTACAACTCAATGCCACTGTGAGGAGCTTAAAGGGAAATGGAAATTCATGCACTGGATTGCTTGCAAGAATCTCAAGCAAAAGAAGAAGTGGAACCTGTCAATGCCTACATGACGAACAACTGGAATCTTACACAAGTTACGTTGATAAGAAGACTATGTCTATTGAACATGTACTTCGTTTTTTGTATGATATAAATGTAATCAGAAAAATTGTATATGAGAGATGGAAAGAATTACATTGTAATGAGAAATGTTATTGCAGAATATTAAGTTTGGAGGAATTGTTATTAGACCCAAGTTTTGTTAATGATTGTAAGCAAGCAACAATTACATGATTGCAGGATATTAATAGCACTTGCATTAGCGTTGGAGCGGCGGTGTAATATGAAGGACACAGTCTTTTTTCATGGAGTGAATTTCTGATCAAAATTCTCTCTATGAAAAAAGTAGGAGAAAATATGAAATTGCACTTTTAACCAGCTCCAGCCGTTATATAAGTATTGCTATTCTACAAAATTTGTATGTGTCAATTTGTTAAAAGATAATTGTTAAAAGTTTTTATTTTTTGATTGATACCAATGAAACCCAACCTTTGTAAAAAGTTAGTTATAAGGAAAACCTGAACTCCAACCAAGTTAATGATTAAATTGTAATGTTTATATCTTCCATGGGATCATGGCCCGAGGGAAGATTAGTCTCAATAAATCAATCAATCAATCAATATAACAATAGTAACCATGAAATTATTTATTACAATTTTTGGCATGTATTGTGCACACATACGTAAAATTTGACAGACATTTCATGCAAGTTATATTTACTATTTAAGGAGCAGTTCGATGCTTTAACGTGCTGGGACTAATTAATGCACGCTTGTTTGAGGCAGATTGATGCTTGAATTTAAATATCTGATCTCACTTCCTGTCAATTGATGCAAGTTTAAAGTTGGAAAGTAGACAGGGTTTAAATTTGCAACTATTTTTAAGGACTTGGTTTGGCCAATGGCCTGGTTATGTATGTATATATTGCAGGTCGGACAGTATATAGCCCTAGGCTTATGTTATCAAAATCAGGCCATATCTTAAGTCTTTCAGAAAGTTGGACTTTCCACAATTATATACAAACACAAATGCATAAACATATTTATTTCTCTAATTAGGTCAGTGTAAAGGATTTTATTCACCGAGAAATGCTAGGTTACAAATATTTTACATTACATTCTTGTGTAATAGTGAGTAAAAGCGCACGTTTCATTCAGTGTTTCGGTAAGCTCATTAGATATTTCTCCTGACCCAATCACATATATTATTGCAGCCGGTATTGATTTATCGGTGGAGTAGTTGCTACCGCTTGATATAAGAATTATGCCGGTGAATAAAAAATAATTATCCATGCCAATGAGGTGTAGTGTATCTCGATAAATATTTATAGTCATGCATGTAAATAAGCTCCGCAGCGTAAATATATTTATGCAGCCAAGAGATTCCCTTTCATTCAAACGCAACAAACAGATGTATATTGAGATTTTCCAACAAATTAATTATACACATGCTTACATATGTGTACAAAGTTATACAAGTTAAGACTTCCGTACTCGATGAAGCAAGTATGTATTACTTCTTTAACACACAAGAAAATTTTAGACCCCTAATGAGGAAATGAAAATTTTCTACAATTAAAAAATAGTTTCATCTGGATTTCACCTTCAAAGCCTTTTGTACCTTTTTGGGGGATTTTTTTTACACCAAAATACATTTTTGCATCTACTAGTTTACTATTACTTTTGTGAACAATTTCCCAGTTACGTTTGAGCGTTGATTGACTTGATAATTTTCTATGCATTTCAAATTTAGCACAATTACACAATAAATTCGTCTAACTCCACAGACTTCAGATGAATTATCGTAAAATGTTGAAAACTGTTTAATCGAAGATTAGTCCAATAATAAAAATTCATTATATTATACATATGTACACCTATATGTTACAATTTCCGCGAACAATGCTACAATACAAATTATCAAACAAAATCCACAAATATAAAAACCTGCTGTGATTTTGGAATCAAAATCTAATCTTGAAACTGCCTCAACTTTTGGATGAGTCCAATTTGCGTAATAATTCAATAACTTTTTCGGTTTCCAGAGTTTGTAAATAAATTCCCAATGTGCGAAAATTCCGGATGATATCATCAGTTTAAGACGCTCTTCTGCGTAACTATCTCGAACTGGAAAAAATGTCCAACCTCTAATTTCAGTAAAGAAATCATCATCTCCTTTAACGTATGTTATCCTTTTTTGATTATCATTTAGGAAATTTGTGATTGTCGCTATATTCTCCGCTGAATCCATCAGCGCCACTTTTCCGCAACCCGATAAGGTTTTTAGTATCTCGAATCTGTTACCGTATTCTACTGGTTGAATGGGATAATCCTGTAATGCGCTTTTGTTATATGGAGGTGGTTTACCAATAGAAGATGAAAATATTCCATGCCCGACAGGTGTCATATTCTCGTCCAATCCGAAATGAGGTAGGAGCATGTTATATAACTTTTTGGCAATAACCTTATGAGCCACTAGACGCTGATTAGTAACATTTTCCAGCGATGTGTGTAGAAATCGAAAGTAGAGTTTAGAATAGAAGTCAAGGTAGACAAAATACTCTGCATTATGTA